CGGCGGCGCTCATCTCGACCTTCAACTACCTCTACTCCGTCGCCGACGGCGTGGAGCCGTGGTGGCTGCCGCCGGCCGTCGTGCTCGGCGTCCTCTGCGTCCTCTTTCCCGCCGCGGCGGTCCTCGTCTACCTCCTGCACAAGCGCAAGTCGGCGGGCTCGAGGCTGGGCGGTGGGCTCGGGCGCGGCGCCTGAGCTTCCTCCAGCACTCTAGCGCGTCTGGCTCTGGGCATTGGGCATATGTTTCTCGCGGGTCGCGGCAATCCGGATACTTTCTTTTTGTGCCGCCCAATCGTGCGCCGTACTGTTATGTATATGCACGCTGCCCCCTATGCATTCGCATCGTGATATGCATCCTTACCGATCCATAACCCTAGCGCCTATACATTTACGTATTTGCAAAATACGTCGCCCTCTCCCACCCTCGCGCGTCGCGGGGCCGAGCGTTTTTGATCTCTGGGTCTGTGGGCGCCCGCCCGCCGCCTCTGAGGGGTCGGGCCCCCTTAGACTGAAAACAAAAACAAGCTCGAAAACAGCCAAAATCAGCCTGCGAGAGAGGCACTGCGCGCCGCTGACCTCATGCTGGGGATGTGTGCCGACACCAATTCTGATCTAAAACCTGGAAACCCTTGTTCAAAGCCGACCCTAAGCGCCATCCTTCCTGCTCTCACCTGATGCTGCTTCCCCGCGCCGCCTCCTTGGGCCCCCTTGGGCGTATTTTCTACTCCCAGTGGGGTCCCGGGCCCCCGGGCCCCCTCTTGTTTTCTGTTTTCTGTTTTTCAAAACGCCCGCCCGCCCGCCACCCCGAGGCGGCTCGGCCCCCCACAGACCCAGAGATAAAAAACGCTCGGCCCGGCGCGTGAATGCATAACACAGTCAGATACATAATACATACAACATGGGCGAATGGATGCATTACGACTGCTCTCGATGGAGCCCGCTCCAGCTCACGGCCCCCACCCACGACTCTCACTTCTCTGCCCCAGGCGCACCGCGACGGCGGCGACGCTGTCGAGCTGCACGCCGCCAAGACGCCTGACGCGGAGATGGCGCTGATTGTGAAGCTGATCCGGTCGCTTCACACCGACGGCGCGCCGTTCGACCATACAGATATCGCAATCCTCTTCCGCACCAACGCGCCCGCCCGATCGCTCGAGGAGTACCTGCAGAAAGCGACGATCTATGTCTATCCGGCTGCAGCTTACTTGCTGCGACCCCATCGGTAAGAGTAAAGACCTGCTGGTTCATTTACTTTCCTCGCGGTTCGTCCGGGATACTACACCACTTACTTGTCACCCATGGGCGAGCAAAGACGCAATTAAAGCTCACGACACATCTCACCGGCAACCTTTAGTACAATAAACCTTCTCCAGCGCCCGGCGGCTGAGTCGCATTCTCGTCGGGCTACGGCGGTGCCGGGTCGCTGTTGCGCAGCTCGGACTCGTTTCCTCGGACAGCAAAGTAGTTATACAATGTGGGCCGTCCTGGGTCATTCATTTTCAGATGAGTGCACGAGCATGATGCTTTGATGCGCTCCATGAGATTTTGCTGTGGGCAGCCGTCGTTATGCTCGTAAAACTCAGCGAACGTATGGTGCGCCCCAACGGCAACTCAAATGCGTAAAAACTGGTTCGCGCAATCAGCAGTATGATGGCACATGCAAGTGCTGCCACGCATAGTTTGCCTTGAGCGTGTCTTGGTTCCAAATCAAATGAGCTAACCAGCCAAAGCACAAGGTTGATCATGGATCGGTGGTACAAGTAGATACCAAAAGAAACGTTGCCCATATGAAGACGAAAAATGGCCACGCAAGGAATGATAAGCTTTGTACTGATGCTGCGCAAACGATGCAAACAATGATGGACAACCAATAAAGCGGGTCCCAGTAAAGCAAAACATATGGCGAGCATTTGCACACATGAACTCCATGACGTTGTCGCATTCCCGTAAGATCTACGATACACGAAAGGAGGGCTGACAGGCCTGCCAGAGAAGCCAAGCGAGGGTAGTTTCTACATGGTTTCTGCAAAGTGGTAAAATTCACGCCCAACAAAAGACCGCCAAGGAACACGTGCAGGTAAGCAACACCTACCAAGAGATCCACAAAATCTTCGTTCCTTCCCCATGCTCGTTCGTCGAACGCCATATCAACCCAAAAGACAGGTTTTGTCACATTGAGGTATAAGCAGAGAAGGATCGCACACAGGACTAAGAACCAGCACAGGATCTGCAGAGCCTGAACCTGTCTTACATGCCAAGCAAGCATAAAAAAGACGTAACATTGAACCTCGCAGGCGGTATTGTCCAGGTCACTGTGGGGATGTAAGCGTGACTTGGTGCTCCTGCCGATATGAAAGCCATCGCGCGCAACAAATCGTGCGGGTGTGAAGGCCACAAGGACAGATAGTGCTTGGGGTCTATGTGACCAGGTTGAGCTCTTACACCTTCCACCAAACGTGTGTATGAAAGCACAAAAGGCACATGAAGTAGTACAGTGGCACAATACGAGCCACACGAGCTTTAGCATACGACATTACGTTCGAAGTTGTGCATGGCAGAGTGAAGTATTTGTAACCCATGAGGAACCCAGAAAGCACAAAGAAAATGAAAACTGCCAGGTTGCTTGTATTATTGCCATATGGGTTTTCACGACCAGAGCAGCTGCAATGCCACGCAAACCCGTCAGTTGTTTCAAATCGCTTCCATCGCTCATTCTTTGCACGGCAAAGTCTGGGCGGCGAGGCTGCGAGGCGGCGGGCGCTGGTGGAGAAGGAAGGCGGCGGCGTTCGAGCGCGGGGCTTGGGCGGCGGGCGGGGAGGCGGGCGTGGAGGCGAGGAGCCAGCCGGCGAGGCGTGCTGTGGCGTGCGGCGTGGGAGCGCGGACGTGGAGGTGCGCAGAACTGACAAACAAGCCAGAGTCTGACGCGTGACGAATGAGTCGTCGGTCAAACTTGAGCATGCTTTCATATGTCAGCGTGAGGTGAGGGCGCAACGGTGGGGGCTCTCACCAGCCCATACCGCGTTGGTGTCCCAGTCGTTGGTCGGACTGTGTTTCGCCTTCCCATCAATCAATCAACCAGCCCCTCAAAGTCGGGCCTCTCGGGCGGCGGTCAGAGGGGCGGGCAAGGGCACGTGGGAGAAGGGTCAGTGCGGCCCACAAGGTGTGAGCTACCCCCTCTCCTAGGTGTGATTCTACAGCCCCTGAGGCCCTCTGGGCTGGGCACCATCAGCTTGGGCAGAGGTCCTCGGGGTGGGGAGAGAGGGAGCTCCCCTTTTCAGACCCCCCCAACCGCGCGCATGAACTCGCACCCCAGTGTAAAAACCGCCAGCCCAGTCTGCTCCCCAGTATCCACGCCGCGCAGGCGCAGCATCGTGCCACAATTGGCATGCCAACTTCTTGGTTTTACTTTCGATGCCGGGTAGCACTGAAACCTCTCTCATTTTTTATTTTTATTAGCTGTCACAGCTCTCACCTCCTCTCACAGTAGAGAGGTGTCCGTTTTTATTTATTTATTCACCTCCTCTCAAGCACAAAGAGCATGCACTCGTTTCCCCCCCCTCTCGCACAATCGCTGGTGGTGCCACCCCCTCGACAGCGGCCGCCGGCGCCCTCCACCCCTGCCCTCCCACACCACCTCGCTCTGCTTCCAGCAGCCGCAACATCTCCGCGGCGACGGACTCGACGACGGGCGGGCAGACGGCGTTGCCGATCTGGCGGTAAAAGTGCGCCGTCGCGTGCGTATCGTGCGCCGGCGGGACGGCGAACGAGTCCGGGAACCCTGTTCACAGCAGCGGGTGTGAAGAGACGCTGGCGTGCAGTGGCGGGACGGCTGAGCGCGTCGAGGGGCGCCCATCAACCTCGCGCACTCGCGCGGCGACAGGAAGCGCGGCCTGCAGATCACGGAGTCAGCGGAGGTGTCTAGGAAGTGTCTAGGAGGTGTCTAGGAAGCGCGGCGACAGGAAGCGCGGCCTGCAGATCACGGAGTCAGCGGAGGTGTCTAGGAAGTGTCTAGGAAGTGTCTAGGAGGTGTCTAGAAAGTGCGGCGACAGGAAGCGCGGCCTGCGCTGCCCGCCGTCGCGGAGCGAGCCGTCGAGCTCCTCGCAGACGTACCGGCTCGTGTAGTTCGAGACGTGCCGGTACGACGACGTCAGCGTCGGCGCCTTTGCGCACAAGTCGACGGCCCTGTCGGACAGAGAGCAGGGCGGCGCGCCCGGCCACCGCTTGAATGAGGCGAGTTGGCCGCGCAGCTGCTGCCACTGTGCCTCGCTCAGCTCGCACGCCGCCGCCGCCTCGCTGCGAGGGGTCTCGAGCACCTGCTCGCACCCCCTTGTGTGCTTGGCTCGGCGACGTCTTCTGCCGCCTGTTCTGCGCGGGGTCTCGAGCACGTCGCGCAGCGCGGAGGACGGCTTGCCGCCGCGCACGCCGTCCCACCTAATCAATTAACGAAGTGTGGAGATGGATTGATTAATTAATTAGGTGTCGCCGCGCGCACGCCGCCCCACCTTTGGTAATTAAGTAATGAATCAATCTCCACATTCGTTAATTACTTGCCGCCGCGCACGCCGCCCCCACCGCATCTCGATGCCGAGGTCGCGTCGGAACCCGACCAGGTAGACGCGCTCCCGCTGCTGCGGCAGCCACTCCTTAGCGCTGACCACCCTCCACGACACCTGGTTGCGAGATACCGGGAGATGCGGGGAGATGCGGGGAGATGCGGGGAGATGCGGGGAGATGTGGGGAGATGTGGGGAGATGTGGGGAGATGCGGGGAGATGCGGAGAGATGTGGGGAGATGTGGGGAGAGGTGGGGAGATGCGGGGAGAGGTGGGGAGATGCGGGGAGATGTGGGGAGGTGTGGGGAGAGGTGGGGAGATGCGGGGAGATTGCTCCCTCGCCACCTGGAGGGGAGATACGGCCGCCGTTGCGGCACGGAGGCTGCGGAGCTGCGGCGGGGAACGCTCCTCCCCGCCACCGCGTAGCCGCACTGCGAGAGCTCCTCCACGATGCGCGCAAAGGTGCGGCCTGCCGGGGCACGTCCTGGGCGCGTCGTGCGGCTCTCCGTGTGAGAGGGCGTCAACGAGGCGAGGCCAGGTGCGGCCGGGCGTGAAGGCTGCGTCCGTGTACGCCTTGCGCGCCACGCTGGCGCTGCGCGCGCCGCCGTCCATGGTGACGAGCCCGGCCACCTGTCGGTTGGCTCACCCACACAGCCCTCACACACCGCCGAGGGAGTGCGATCGCCGCGGCTGAGGCTGGCGGCCTGTCGATGCATTGAGACGGCCTCGCAGCCCTTTCAATAAGGAGTGCGCCCTTCCGTGAGGCTGGCCACGTTCTCGAAGAGGAAGGCGGCCGGTTGCCGCGCGAACAGCAGCCGGACCAGCTCGCGGTAGAGCTGGCCTAATTACAGTTAGTTAATCGTTAATGAATAGTTAATTACACCTCGCCGAACCAGCTCGCGGTAGAGCTGGCCTAATTATAGTTAGTTAATCGTTAATGAATAGTTAATTACACCTCGCCGAACCAGCTCGCGGTAGAGCTGGCCTAATTACAGTTAGTTAATCGTTAATTAATAGTTAATTACACCTCGCCGGACCAGCTCGCGGTAGAGCTGGCCGCGCAGGTCGAGCAGACCGGCCTGAGAGGAGGTGCGGTGGGGATCACGCCTCGCGAGCTTCACTGGCTGATCGGTGACTGAGCTCACCGATCTCGCAACTCGCCGCATCTCGGCCGCATCTCGGGCGCATCTCGGCCGCATCTCGGGCGCATCTCGGGCGCATCCCGCCTTGCTGCCGCGGTCGGAGAAGGGCTGGCACGGGAAGCCTATGGGCAGGCTCTCTGTGCATGCACCATCGTCCTCACGGTAAGAGAATGGGCTGGCGCGGGCAGCCGGCGGGTGAGCAAGCCGAAGGCGGGCAAGTCTACATCTATGACCTGTAGCCGGGCAGGTCTCGGGCTACAGCTCGGCTACTCGGCCATCGGCTACAGCTCGGCTAGCACCGGCGGTGAGCAGGTCGAAGGCGGGCAGGTCGGCGGCGTGCACGCTGGCGATGTCGCCCGCACGGGGCTCTCCGCCTGCCGGCCAGTGCGGGGAGATATGGGGAGATAGGGGGAGATCTGGGGAGATCTGGGGAGATAGTCCGCTTCTATCTCCGCCTGCCGGCCAGTGCGCGCCGTACGCCCGGCTGGCGGCGCGGTCGAGCTCGGCCTACGCGAAGGCTCAGACCAGGCTCCGAGAAGGGCCAAGGAAGAGGAGGCCCGCCCGCGCGGGTCGAGCGCGGCCGCAAAGACGCAGCGCCCTCCGAGCGGCTCCAGCCCGAGCCGGAACCTCCGATGCCGGCAAAGACCTCTGCAAAGGTGAAGGCCTCGGGTGGGCCCGGCCGCGGTGCAAGCGGCGGCAGCGCGCGCCCAAACAGCGCGTCGCACCGCCGCACGCCGGAGTAGAAGACTGCGCCGCTCGCACCGACCGCCGAGGCGACGGCGGCGGCCAGCTCTGCCGGCGCGGCGGCCGGATCGTCGAGGACGCCCGCGACGGTGGCAGGAACATGGAGCAAGAACATGTCCGGCGTGACGCGGTCAACCACGAGCGCGTGCCGCACGTCGGACCGCGTGCCGTGCCGCAGGTCGCCGACGGCCGCCTCGAGCGCCGCCCGACAGCTCGTGAGCTTCCGCTTTGGGACGAGCAGCGCGCCGACAGGGACGCCGCCGTGGTCCGACCGCCGAGAGCGGAGGGCGGCGTCGAGGGCGGCGTCGAGGGAGGTGGTGGCCGGCTCGGGCATGCAGCGCATTCCGGGCCGGGCCTTTTCTTTTTTTCGCTGTTGCTTTTCTTTTTTAAAAAAGAATTCTACAAGATCTGAACTAAGGTACACCACACCACGCGAGCCGCCTCGGACTCCGCACATAAGATGGGCGATCATCGCTGTTCGTCTCGCCTCACCGATTTGGTTCTCACGTCTCACAAGAGTGAGTATAACATTACTCACTTTAACAGTTTGAGAAAGTCCGTTGTGCGGGGTACGCACATAAAATGGGCTTATAGGATTATTGCGATGTTCTTCTCTCAAGATACGGATGCAAAATTGCTCATCGAGACGTCACTTATGGCCCGGGTGAACGCCGTCAGGCCGAGGGTGCTGCCTCGCTTAGTTCTGGTGTCCTGCGCTCGCACATGCACTCGAAGAGGAATCTATGTCACAGGGCAATCTATGTCCTGAACGGCCTCAAATGCTACTTATGCTAGAGGTCCTCACTCAGGAGGTCGGAGGTCCTCATTCTACATTCAGGCTCAGCTTAGTGAGAGGCCTCAGCACAGACAACAGAAAACTCGGTCGCCACGCAGCTCTACTCGCCCTGTGACCCAGCCTCTTGGGGGTCTTGGTGCTGCCTCTGCTGTGTCATGCGTCAATGTCAATTTCATGCGTGGAATGTCAGGGTGCCCGCATTTTGTCCTGAGCGGCCTCCAATGCCAGAGGTCCTCACTGTCTCAGAGGTCCTCACTCAGAGGTCCTCACGCCCAATATGCCACCTAAAATGAGCCCACGCATGAGGATGCGCGGGGGTCCGGGATAGCCGCCAAGGAGCATGCACTAGGATATGACACATTGGTGCAGTTTGGCTGTTGAGTGCGTGATGTGTGTGTGTGTGAGTAAGAGAGAGATTTGGCAATACCAAACAACTCTGCAGCAGAGAGAGAAAGGAAGAAGGTTAAGGCCGGGCACACCGCTTGTGGATTTGGAGCACTTGGAGTAAGTATCGAAGGTGAAAGAACACACAGTCAGTCAGTCAGAGGTAAGCGACCGGCCCAGTCGACCGTCCCCTCCCCTCAGCAGAGCGGGCGAGAATCCTAAAGTTCACGCCTCGGAAACTCGGCGCCTGCCATTCCCCCGCAGGGAACTGGTTTGCTGTTTTGGGGGCTGGCGATGCTGCTCGCAGACACCCTGGCGCTCGTGCTCCACCCGCCGCCAGTCGCGCCGCGGTCGCGCGAGGTCGCGGTCGCCGCGGTCGCGCACGGCAGCGGCATGGTGGGACCGCGGTCGTACGGCCCGTATGACAAGCTGTCGTACGACAAGCAGTCGCGCCGTAGCAGTCGCGCCGCGGTCGCACCCACCATGCTGCTGCCGTGGGAGGGCAAAAGCGGCCTCGACGTCAGGCCGTATGACAAGCTACTCAACAAGGCAGCGCCCGTGGTTGTGCCTCTCCTCGTCGGGTATGGATCCAAGGTCTTCAAGCCGCTCTACTCGCTGGCCGACAAGGTCCGCAACCGCAAGGCCGACACAGAAGCGCGCCAGGCAACGTCCAATGCGTACAAGCCGTGCGTGGTCTTCTCCTCTCGGACCATCAAGGACGAGGCCGCTTACAAGAGCGCCTTCGCCGAGTACGCGGAGGGCGCGATGGCTGGCTCGGGCGTGCGCGCGTGCTTCAGCTTCATGGATCGCGACAAGGAGATGACGGCGGTGCAATTTGCGTGGTACGACTCGGCCTCTGACCTCGTGCCGGAGCCGCCAGCGCTCAAGGAGTGCTACTGCGGCACGGTCGCGACCGACTACACGCAGACATGGGGCAAGTGGAATGCGGACTTCAAGGCGGCGCTGCAGACGGATATCTGCAAGTACTCGTTCGTCGAGGAGGTGCGCGGCTTCCTCAAGGAGCCGACCGAAGCCAACGCCAAGGGGTTTGCCACCGGCGAGCCGCCGATGATCTGGATCTCGAAGCGCGACATCCTGCCGGGCCGCATGGAAGCGGCGGGGAGCAGCTTCCAGTGCGGGACCGACCGCATGTACACGGTGCGCCCGCGACCGTGCGCCCGCACGCCCCCCCCCCCCTCTCCCCCCTTCCGGTCCGCGCGCACGCGCACGCGCACGTTCCGCAGGCTGCGCCGGCTGCGCTGGGCATCTGCGAGTTCACCGACCCGGTCGACGAGAACGCCACCCTGGGCGCTGCCCGTGTTCCACGACTACCACACGGGCATTTAGGCGCACTTCCCCCGTGACGTCGCCCATTCTCTTCCTCATGGGGTTCAACCTCATCCCGGAATGGGTTCCGGGCCCTTTCCCTCCTGGGTTTCTCCTTTCTCTTCGCAGATTTCTTCCCGGAGTGGTTCCCTCTCACTGCCACTAATTTCTGGCGTATCCTTATCACTATAGCCTACTCATACACCCTTTCTCTATTTTTTTCACTTGGTTATCCTATATCCCATATCATTTTAACGTGATTTATTATTTTCCCTCCCCTT